GTTGCCAGATGTTTATGTATAAATTTGAGGATGTTTTAATGTAAATATACGTTTATTATCTTCGTCTATTTAAAAAAAAATCGCGTCTTCAAAAATATTTGAAAATCACACCCTTGGAGGTTCTCAAAAAAAAAAATCTGCTCGTTTCGTATTTAGCTTAAAATCCCAACACTTTTAAGTACTTAGGTTTATTTATTAAATCCCATATTTTGTTCTGCTCCGTTAAAAGTTTTACGGCGTATACGTTTTCTCAACACTCATACGCAGCATGGTCTGCAATAAAAATAACCTGGAAATACACTTTCTGACGAAATTTTTCAAATGTAATTTGGAGGTTCACAAAAAAATCTGCTCGTTTCGTATTAACCTTAAAATTTCAACTATTTTAATTACTTAGGTTTATTTATTAAAACCCATATGTTGTTCTGCTCGGCTAAATGTTCTATAGCGTATACGTTTTCTCAACACTCATACGCAGCATGGTCTGCAATAAAAATAACCTAGAAATACACTTTCCGACGAAATTTTTCAAATGTAATACCAAAATATATCTACAAAAAAACTGACAGTTTCTTCTGTTCGGCTATATTTTCTATCCTTTCAGGATAGATCCAATATATGTTTTTTTATATTTAATCACAATGGCGTATACGTTTTGTCAGCACTCATACGCAGTATGGTTTGTTGAAATTCACTTTCTGGCGATATTTTTCTTAAAAACCATCCCCTCAAAAAATGTAAAAATATTCTCCGAATATTTTTCTAAATTGCGTTTAGGTCCTCCAAATGTATACACAAAATTGCACGCTTTACGTCCTTCAAAAAATTTTAATTTGTAATCTTGTTAAAAGAACTATTTCACTATCCATATAAAAATAAATAAAAATTGGCTTTGGCATAGGGTTTTTAATTGGCGTATGAGTAACGACAGTACTTATACGCTCCCCGTATTATATTGGCGTATAAGTTACGGCACTACGTATACGCTCCCGGTATTAAAATGCTGGCTAATCGTTTCTTCCTCTCTTAATTTTCAGCAAATTACTCAATTCTTTTCATTTATTTTCTACAGGTCCTTTCCATATTTTAAACACCGAACTTCAAATAATGTTAACATATTTTTCCTAGCACATTTTCTTCTACTTTGTAACAAAAAAAGGGAGATCAGAAAAAAATGTTAATAGAAAAAATACTCCACAAATTATCCTCATAATTGCTCGAACATGTTCCAAAGAAAAGTGGATATTTTGTTGCGAATTTTTCACTGACCACCTCTCTCTTTCTCTCACTTTCTTTTTGCTATTTTAGGGTTTAGCATTTAACAGCTAGATTATTATAAAAGTAGCTTGTAGCCAAAAAATACCAAAAATAAAGCTGGTCAAGTGTGGCAAGCTGCTGCTACTAATACCACAACAGAAAATAATACAGAAACAAAAAATTAAATTGCTTCTAGTTTAGTGTTTAATTGGCAATTTAATTAAAAAACAGGAGGCGAACACTATAAAAGGGGTGGCCTGCCTGCCAGCCTTTAACAAAAGAGGAACAAGTTGCGGAAAAACCAAAAATTTATTTCTCTACACAATTTTGCACATTCAGAATTTTTTTTTTCATTTTGTTCATGTTGTTATTAGTCTATGAAAAATGTGTAACGGAATAGAGTAGCTTTTTGAGGTAAGTTTTTTGTTTTCAACACAAGGAGAAACATAATAGAAAACTTTTCTTAGTTATACACCAGCATATCTATTTATGTCCGTAATGATAGGGTTGTTGGAACTTTTACTTACTTGGGTTTTTATTTTTTTATTTTGCAAGGCAATATATACATTCTACACTACCATACACACACACATTCCAACTAACTGGGCCACACCATTATAATTTGTTTCCATATTTCTCTTAACTGTAATTATAGCTTGTCCTCTTGCTTCCGTTGTAGCTCTTTTGAAAGAAAGAAAGTGTGCTTAATGACGCATGACGTTCGCATACACGTGCAGCAGCACAAGCACCCATTAGAATACACAATGTAAAACGGTTTCTAAGATAGTTGGCGTATACACGCTCACGCCAGACCATGCCTCTATGACAAAGTCTTAAATGTATATATTTCAATATAAAAAAAATCCCTGCACATATACATATATATTTTTGTCCGGACACATTATGAGTAGCGTGTTGCATATATCATACGCAGGTTTCTTCGAGGTTTCTTTGATATGCATTCGGGCAATAAATTATAAAAAAGGTCCTTAAAGAAAATTTTTATTTTAGTAAAGAAGGCTTGTGATTTATTTTAAGGCATTAGGGAAGGAAGTTTGTCATTATTTTATGTATTTAGATTCTGTCAGGATGTCAATTAAGTAACAAACTTTTGGTTTGCACCATAAATTGCCTATTATTTGAGTGGTGTAAACCTCAAAAGTCATAATTCATTTTCTAAGGTACCCCATGGCGTATACATGGTGTCAGTAATCATACGCACCATTTCACTCTAGGGGAAAATGTTTTGAAATCGAGTTAAAAAATAAAATTAGGTTAATTAATAGAGGAATATAATTTTTTCTCTACAATAGAAACGATTTTAATCTATTCCAGAAAGACACGGAAGTTTTGAATTTAAATTTATGTGGACCGTGAAGTTGTTTATAAATCTAATAAAATATATATTCAATTCTCAAGCTTCTGAGGCTGTGAAAAATCCGATTATTTAATATTTGTATTCTATTAATAATCTCCGAGGCGTCGATATGGTTTTTATATTTGATCACGATGTCGTATACGTTTTGTCAACACTCATACGCAGCATGGTCTTTTGAAAAATAGCCTTGAAATTCACTTTCTGGCGATATTTGTCAAAGGTATGGAAGGAAATGTAATGCCGAAAATTAATGTTCCAAAATATCTAATTCTCTTGCCAGATGTGAACGTTAATTTTTGAGGGAATGTGTCCCTGAGAAAGACTTCTCCTTATCTGAGAACGAATTCTCTCCGTCTGCATAAATTTCAAGCCAGAAAAGTGATCTGTGGTGTGTGTGTGAAGGAAATGTAATCCCAAAATATATCTACGCGAAGCTGAAAATTCCTTCTGTTCGGTTATATGTTCAATTCTTTTTAGGTTAGATCCATTATATGGTTTTTATATTTGATCATGAAGTCATATACATTTTGTCAACACTCATACGCAGCATGGTCTGTTGAAAAATAGCCTAGAAATTCACTTTCTGGCGATATTTTTCAAAGGTATTGAAGGAAATGTAATGCCGAAAATTAATGTTCCCAGATACTTAGTTCTCTTGCCAGAACATTTATTTTTGAACGGATGTGTCTCTGAGAAAGACTTCTCCCTATCTGAGAAGGAATTCTCCCTGTCTGGATAAATTTCAAGGTAAAAAAGTGAATTTCTTTACAAAAAAAACCGATTCGTCAACCAGAGGACTGCTCCTTTGATTTTTTCTGAAGATTAATAACTACTTTCAAGATTGTATGCAATAATTCCAATCGAAGTCACTTTAGCTCTAATGTGTCGTTAGTTTAGGCCAATATAGCACCAATAGGAACTTCTTCTATACACGCCACAATCATGGCATAGTGAATTGTCGCCTCGCGACCATATGAACGCCCTGAGGCTCTGAAATAAAAAAATAATTTTACTACGTATACGTTCTGACACTACTTATACGCCCTAGTGTCCTGGAATAAATACAACAATTATTTTGAAAATATTTTCAAAAAGATATTTGTAAAAATTCTATCTTATTTTCCCAACAAAATATTTAAAAAGTCCGTACTAAAAATCCTTATTTTTGAGTAGTTTTTGTTTTAGTTGTCCATAAAAAATTATATTAATAATATTCTGAGCAATTTATTTAGGTCCTCGAGATATATTATTAAAAGTCCTTAAAAATTAAAAAAAAAATCTATTTTCTTATCAGTGTCCATATTAAAATAAGCAACCATTAGTTAATACATTGCATAAGGGCCCAATTGACGTATGAGTTACATCGGTACTTATACGCTGCCTGTATACGTGGTGACAGTAATTATACGATCTAGAGTCCGGGAAATAAATAATCGCCGTCTCTCCGATGGCTTGCAACAGTTTATTTCGGATGACAATGTTATCTATAATCGCCACAATCGTGGAGGTTTGGTAGCTTCCACAGTCGAGGATATGAATATGAATGGCACTGGAATTGTTACCGCTGCCCACTCGTCGGGTGGAAGAGTGGCCCTTGGAGGCAGAGGTTATCTGCCCTCAGTGTACGCTTTTAATAACTAAATACCCATGCTTCAATTTATGTTGCGTATACGTTGTGTCAACACTCATACGCACCCCATGCACCTGTTACAATCTTGTCATGTGCGAATATCTTCGATAAACGCCGACATTATTGATTTTACTTACATATTCCATATAAATCAAATACCTGAGATATCTAGAAGCTCAAAATCTCGGAATTTACAACCCTTTCTCTACAGAAACCCTCCATTCATTTACCCACCTATCTGCTGCAATATTTTGAGGCCTTGTTTTGATTTAATCTTTTGTGGCATTACTTGAATATAGCCTCAGGCATATAGTTAGCTCGCAAATAACACCCTCATTCTCCTCCTTCCCCGCCCTTTTTAGGTATTAAACTAGATGTTACGGAGGTAGTGTTAGTAAACACTTACCTGTAATTAAACAAGTGGTCGTCGGTTGTTTTTCGGTACTTATGTTGGCATCATTAGTTTCTAGTAGGCGAGAGTGTGTATGTGTGTGTGTGTTGTTGCTGTTGTAATTGTAATTATTGTAAAGAGTGTAATTTTCTACTTAAAAATCCTGTTGAAAATTAAATGAAAAGAAATGTTGTGGTACTGGGTGTGTGAATGGCTGGGCGGCCCTTCACAAAAATATTCCGCACATATGTGGGGATGTGTGTGTGTGCGAAAGCAAGGTGAAGTGTTTTAGTAACCGCTTAATTAACCCATTTTCTCGTCTCTCTCCTTCTCTTTCATTACAGCCAAATACGTGAAGGAATTATACGTTGCATTTTAGCCACCGATATGGCCCGTCACAATGAGATCTTGACCCAATTTAAGGAGGTTACACCGGTCTTTGATTATTCCAATAGGGCTCACATAAATTTGGTAAGTAGTTTGCCAAAAAATCGAAAAAGTATATTTATTTATTTTTCCCCTCTCCCTCCCTAGCTTTGTATGATTCTCATAAAAGTCGCCGACATCTCCAATGAGGCCCGACCCATGGATGTGGCCGAACCCTGGCTGGATCGTTTGCTACAAGAATTCTTTGCCCAGAGTGCAGCTGAAAAAACCGAAGGTCTGCCGGTAACGCCCTTTATGGATCCCGACAAGGTTAGCAAACCGGGTTCCCAGGTGCGTTTTATTGGTCTAGTCCTGTTGCCGTTGTTCGAAGCCTTGGGTGAGCTGGTGCCAGAAGTTGTGGATATGATTATAGTTCCTGTACGCGTAGCATTGGATTACTACAAGTAAACAATTTTATTTTAAATTAAAAACAAAAAAATTAATAATTTTCCCGACCACTTCCAGGCGTTTAAATGATGCTCAAAACAAATCTCGTAAATCCCTGGCCGATAGCATTTCAGCTGCCGCCTCAGAGAATACAAGCGGTGGCTCAGATGCCAATGCGGCCTCAACAAGCACGGCTGGTGGTTCGACCGGCGGTGGCACCGGTGGGGCTGGCGGTAGTAATACCGGTGCTACGAGCAGTGGGGCCGGCAACTCTGGCGGCAGTATTTCACCCCAAATGCCACGCTCCCAGTCGGGCATTAGTGTGAAGTCCCGCCGGAGTATACCCTCCCAAAAGTCAGCCTCACGCACCTCTGTCGATGAGCCGGGCGGCATGCCAGCCGAATTACATGATCTACCGGAGGGCAGTGAAAGTGGTGACTCCGAAACGGCCACAGAGGTTGATGTAAGCCAAGCAAATACCTCTCCCTTAAATACCCTTCTCTTTAACTCCCTTTCATTCGTTGCAGGTTGCTGAGAAAACCTCCAAATTCAAGGTGGACACCGAAGGCACCAGCAATCGCTCCAAATCCTCACATTCCGCCTCGCGGAAATCGTCACGCGAAAAACGCCCCTCCATGATTGGTGAAATGTGCAGCAGCGGCAGTGGCCAGCGCATCCGCAACTCCTATGGCAACATCCATGGCTATCACTCCAATCGCAGTCACTTTAGCTCTAATCGTGCCGTTAGTTTAGACCAATATAGCACCAATAATCGTCGCCTCTCCGATGGCCTGCAACAGGTCATCTCGGATAGCAATGTATTCTATAATCGCCACAATCGTGGCAGTTTGGAAGCTTCCACAGTTAATTGTCGCCTCGTCGAGGACATGAATATGAATGCCACTGGAATTGTGACCGTAGCCCAGTCGTCGGGTGGAAGAGTGGCCGGAGGTTATCTGCAATCCAATACTTCCCCAATTGTGCCAAATACAGAAGGTGTCACTTCCATAAACGGTTCTTCGCTACAGACGCCTGCTGCGGGACCCAATGCTACCAATACCACTGCCTCTAACATGCAACAGCAACAACAACAGCAGAATATCATGTGCATTAATACCTTCTCCAATGGAAACATATCGCCCACCCAGCAGCTACAGCATCAACAGTTACAGCAGCAGCACCAACAACAGCCACCGCGTCAACATTGTTGTGCTGCAGCAGCAGCGGCCGCCGCTGCGGCTGCCAACAGTGCTCAAAATGGCTTGACTACCAGTACGACCAGCGAAACTCCTGCCGCCTCCAAACACTCCTGGAAGGCCCGCCTCAAACAATTCTCCGATTACTTTAGCTTCTCGTTCGATAAGAGCTCCAAGCGCTTTAACAGCACCCGCAGCAGCCCCTGTTCGGTGCGCAACAACAATGGCACCCAGACGGGCGGGCAAGATGCGGGCGCCACCTATATTGATCCGCTGACCGGCAAGCCCACCACCATGTGTTGTACCATCTCGAATAGCCTGCAATCGCCGGGTCTGCGACAGAAACACATTTCCCACCAACACGACTTAATGTCGGCCGGACGCCATCGGGCCTATAGCCTTGATGTACCCTGCAATCGCAGTAATCCACGTTACAGCAGTAGTAGCGGAGGCGGTGGCGACAGCAGTCGCAAATCATCCCGCCACGATGGCACCGTCACCGGCGAGGAGAACAACAGCAACAATACGCTTCACAGCAGCAGCGGTGGAGGCAGTGATATGCCCACCTGCATGCCGCCACCCATACGCATTGGCAGTGTCGATGCCAGCGATACAATACTCATTACCACTGGTGTCCTGCCAAATGCAACGTCGGCCACATTGACACCCGCCACCCTGGGCGAACCGCCCGAGCCAAGCCTGAGCATTGACTTGGGCCTACAGAGTCAATCATCATCGGCGGAGCCACCGAAAATATGACAACGTGGTAGCTCAGAGACGACCACCAACTCCTCGAATGGAGCCTTTGCTGCACTGCTGCAGCAGCAACAACAACTCGATGGTCAGCAGCGGGCAGCGGTAAGTGCGGCCACAGCGGCCGTGCAAACGTCCAGCTGCAATGTATCATCCTCCATGTCGATGACAGTGTGGTCGGCTCTGGGCCAGCGGTTGAGTGCTTTGGTATGCCATTGTTGTGAGCGGAAATTGCCAGAGCCGGAAAATGTGTAGAGAAATGAAGGCAGGCAGAACAGAAGATTCAGATGATGATAAAAAATAACAATTGAATAGGCAACTAAAGGAAAACAAACAACAACAAAAATAATAGTTAAATCATTATAGCAAGAAGAAGAAGCACAGCATCAAGAAGAATCATGAAAAAACATTATATGTCAAAAAACCAATACAAAGAAGATCATTCATGTTCATTGATTTTCAGATTTAGAAGAAGAAAAAATGCAATACAAAAAAACCTCCCCACCTCTCTCTCCCTGCTAGAAAAATACTACATATACAATAACCTCCAAATTTCTCCACCCATTTTCAAACCGTTTAGACGATTTTTATTTTATAGTTTTAAATAGAGATAAACAAACCTATACATATTTTGTAGATAATCTTTATGTTGTATGTGTGTAAAGTGTGAAGAAATATTTCAATTTGTGTGTAAAAAATGCAAACTTTATTTTTGAAAAAAGTATAAAAATAAATTTTAAACAATTGTCAACTGACCTAGGACCTACATTAAGGACCTTTATTTATGTGCCAGGCAACAAGATTTCATTTTCAAAATCATAGAAAATTATTCGGTAATGTGGCCCTCAGTTTCCAACAAAATTTATGAAAAATAATTCTCTAGGTAACAACGAACACATGTCAAGTATCTTCAATAAGGGCTCTATAAGGACTCTCTGAGGACCTTTTCTGTAAAAAAGAAAATTAGCCTTTAAAATTAGAAAAACATATTTTGAAAAGGGATCATTTCTATGGACATCGGAAATAAGGGTGTATAAAAAATGCCCCTCCGTCAAGAAGTTCTCTAGGTGATCCCCTCAGATGTTTTTTATTTAAAGATTATTTTTTTTAAATTAAAGAATTTTTAAAATAAAAAAATTTTAAAAATTTCTATGCAAATCCTATCCATAGATTACATGGGATTATATAAATGGGTCCTACTTAGCATCTGATATAGTCTATCGGGATTTTTTCTTAATTTTAAAAGATAATCTCTTATGCGTATTGTGTGAGCTCCGCCTAAGAAAATCAACGGATTTTATGTAGTAGTATCATCTCGATATCTTACCATATAAGAGATCTTCAATTGGAAGACTTGTAGTTAATCCACAATAGATCACCAAATATTCGATAATCTTATAAGAAGTTCGGTTCATTTTCTTGAAGAAGATCGGCTATGTGATGATAAATTTATTCTCTGATTCAACTGTGGATCACATCAGAAGGACTTCAAATTTTTTCTATAGAAGAAGACACATACCAGAGAGAAACTCTTCGGAGGGATCTAAGAATTTTTTGATACATAAAGATGCCTTTTAAGACCTCATGATAGAAACAGAATCACCGATGTATTTGTGGATTTTTTCTATAGAAAAATACACCTCAGAGAGACCGGAGAAGTTGTTTCTATAAAAAATACACATTTAGATGTACCTGAGGAAATTGTTTCTATAGACAAAGACCTGCGATTTTTTTCTATAGAAAAATACAGAATAGAAAAAATGAGGATTCTTTTCCTATAAAAAACATCTTAGAAATTCCTGAGGATTTTTTTCCTATCAAAGAAGACACCTCAGTGGAATTTGATGATCAGAGGGATCTGAGGAATTTTGTGTATAGAAAAAACACTTCAAAGGGACCTGAGGATTTTTTTCCTATAGGAAGAGACCTATGTGGGACCTGAATATTTTTTTAAAGCAACTTGGAGGCGTCTGTGGATTTGTTCCTCAGAGGTATCTGAGGAATTTTTTTTATAGAAAAATACTGAGGACCTCAAGATTTTTTTCCGGAGGGACCTGATGATTTATTTCTATAGAAAACAACATCTCAAAGTAATCTGATTCATTTTCTTCTATAGAAAAACACCTCAGTGGGATCAAAGATTTTTTGTTTATAGAGAAATGCAATTCAAAGGAACCTGAATATGGATTTTTTTCCTATAGGAAGAGACCTCTGTGGGACCTGAGTATTTTTTCTATTGAAAAAGACAACCTGGAGGCGTCTGTGGATTTGTTCCTATAGGAAAAGACACCTAAGACGTATCTGAGGAATTTTTTTTATAGAAAAATACTGAGGACCTCAAGATTTTTTTCCGGAGGAAACTAGGAATTTTTTCTATAGAAAAAACACCGATGAATATTTTTCTATAGAAAAAGGTCCCTGAGGCTATACATAAGGACCTCTGAGATACATAAGGATTTTTTTGCTATTGAAATACACTTCTCAGAGGTATCTGACATTTTTTTGTAAGAAAGGAAAAATTTTTATATAGAAAAATAATATTTCGGAGATTGCTGAGTATTTTTTCAATATAATAATACACCTCAGAGTTATCTGAAGATTTTTTTTCTACAGAAAAATATAATTCAGAGGGTTCTGATAATTTTTTTCTACAGAAACATACGAGAAATGAGAAATGTTTTTTCTATAGAAAAGACACCATACAAGAATATGATACATTTTTTCTATAGAAAAATACATGAGGGACCTGGGAATTTTTTTTATAGTGAGACACCTTTTAGGGGTTTTTAATTCTAAGATCCTCTAAGATAATTAAAATATGGGCTGATGGACGGGACAGAAGAATGATCCCGTTGTAAAAATTTCAAATAGTTTTTAATAATTGTATAAAAATTTGTTGAAATATTTTTTTTTTTAAATTATAACTAATTAAATTGTGTAAAAATAAAATAAAGATTTACAATTCAATATCTTTGCACAAACCACAACAACATAAATAAGTAAAATTATTTAGTCCGGTAAATAAATTAAAGGTCAGTTAAAGGATTTTTTATTTTTCTTTCCAAAAATTGTATTTTATTTCATTGCATTTTATTTTTAAACCTTTAAAAAATTTACAAACCCAATCCCCAACTACAAACCCCATTTTTTGTTACATTTCTTTATGCTACAATTCATTGTAACATTTTTACAGTTAAGCACAAAAGTATTTGTCATAGGTATAAAGAAAATAAATCAACACAAAATAATAGTAAAGGACAAAAAAAAACAAAAAATAATACTGAAGTAATAATCATCGATATTGTTCTTAGAATTTATTATCATTATTATTATATAACATACCAATTACATACATATATATATACCATACAAAAATTACATATATACATATATGCATATTATATATATATAATTTTTTTGTTGAAAATAATATTTAAAAATTAAGGTAAATAAATATTATTATAAAAAAGATACATAACTATTTGTTCATGTCTATATATATATATATATATATAAATACATACTCTATCAATCACACACAAAAACCAGAACAACAACAAACTGCAGTATAACAATAATAATAAAAAACCGAACATCACAAACATGAAAAACTTATTTTCTTTGTTTTATTTTTTATTTAAAATTTTAAACTATTTTTCAGAAAGGAGAACTTCTTAAAAGGAGGAGGATTCCATATTTATAGAAAATTTAAAAAAATATATGGATCTTTTCAAATGACCTCTAAGTAGGCTATTATTCGTAGGGACTTCTGTATATAGGTAGACAATTTTCAAATTTTTTTGATTTAAAAAATACTTCTGTGATACCACCTGAGAAAATTGGCGGATCATATGTAGTAGTATCATTCCGATGTTATAGAAGACCTTCAAGGGGAAAATATTCTACTTAGTCATAAATGAACTAAGTAGGCCTTCCAGAAGACCACATATATTATGAAGAAGTATTGTTCGCTTTGAGTAAAAAAATTTTAATTTTTTTTCGGTATTGAATAAAAAATAACTATATTCAGAAAGAAGATCTTCTTAAAGGGGGATTTGTTAGAGGATTCTATATTTATAGAAAATTTAGAACAAATATGGATCTTTTCAAATGCCTTTTAAGGAGGCTTTTATCCGTAGGGACTTCTGTATATAGATAGACATTTTTTTTTTTTTTTTTTTGATTTAAAAAATACTTCTCTGATACCACCTGAGAAAATCGGCGGCTCATATGTAGTAGTATCATTCCGATATAATAAAAGACCTTCATAGGGGAAAATATTCAACTTAGTCATAAATGAACTAAGTAGGCCTTCCAGAAGACGACATATATTATGAAGAAGTATTGTTAGCATTGAGTAAAAAAATGTGGCGATTTTTATTTATTTTTTTATTTATTTATTTTTTTTTTTTTTTGAAAATATTTCTTTAAATTTTGATTAATTTTTTTATATTTTATTTATTTATTTTCTTTTCTTCATTTCATTTAGCTTTCATTTTAACACATTTTATGCGGCATTTTCTATAGAAACTGGCATTTCCGGTGACAGCTCTGCAATGCAATTTAAAAAAACCCACACTACTACAAATTTTAGAAAAAGAAACAAAATATATATGGAACCCCCGGCCAAGCTGGATCTTGGCTAAACGACAAAGCCAAACAATATAATAATAAAACAAAATATTAAAAATAAAACAACACGTCTTCAAATTTATAAAATAAAAAATACTATGCTGGTCCAGACACAAATTAAAAAAATTATGTAATAAAAAATAATATTACAAAAATATTAAAAAATATATATATTTAGAAAAAAATATATATTAAAAATAAATTAATAAAAAAATAGTTATTAAGTAAAACATTTTCTTTTCTTGTGAATAGAAAGTAATAGAAAAAAATTATAATTTATTAATTAAAAAAAATTATTAATTCAAAAAAGGATGCATTTTAAAATATTTTTTTTTAAATTAAAAAAAAATAAATTTAAATTTATAAAATTAAAAAAAATAATTTCAATAAATAATTATTTAAAGTATTTCTTTATTTGATTATTTTTATTTATTTATTTATTATTATTATTTTTTGAAATAGTAATTATTAAAAATAATGCGTCTT